AAAAAAAGATAATCCTTTCCTCATTAAATTACTTTTTTTTTTTTTTTTGGTCAGAAATCAAGCACATCTAAGTCTACTGGGCACTCTTCTATATTTACTCAAATATCATACCATTTTGATGATTGTAGCTTTATAGTAAGTCTTGAAATTAGGCAGTGAAGAATTCTCTAACTTTGTTCTTTTTCAAAAACATTTTGCTTATTTTAGGTCCTTTCTGTTTCTATATAAGCTTTATAATCAGCTTCTTTCTGCAAAGAAGTTTGATGATATTTGAATTGTGTTGACTTTAGATCAACTTGAAAGAATTACCATCTTTATATTTATTTTTTAATCCATGAACACCGTATATCTCTGCATTAATTGTGATTTTGTTTTCTTTTTCTTAGAATTGTGTTTGTGGACTTCTAATATAAGTTTTGCATATAGTTTAATTTAGCCCCAGGTTTTTAATGTTTTTTAATGCTATAAAAAGTAAAGCATTTTTCAATATCTAAATGTTTATTTCTATACATAGATATATAATTGATTTTTCTCCATTGACTTCATGTCCATATTAAAGCTCACTTATTAGTTCTAGTTGATCCTTGTGGATTCTTTGGGATATTTTATGTAGATTATCATCTAGTCTATAAGTAAAGATAGCTTTATTTCTTTTCATTTCTTTTACTTCCCTTATTGGACTGGTTAGGACCTTGGGTTTGATATTGAATGTAAGTGGTGAAAAGAGCCTTGCCTTGTTCCTAATCTTGGGGGAAAAGTATTCAGTCTTTCACCAAAAGCACTGTACATTTCTCCTTTTATTATACTTGTCACATTTGTGATATTTGCTTGCTCTATGTGCTCTGTTTCATAGAAACAGAACCTTTGACTATTGTGTTCACAGTGCTTCCTCTTGCTATTAAGTAGATGTATGTTTAATGATCTAATCCATGGGAATAAACTTTAACATAGATTTTTAGGCCATTGCTTTTATCAGCTGACTAGAATGGCAGCTATTAAGAATACAAACAAAAATAAACACTGTGAGTGAAGGCAAAGTGGACTTCGTGTGTCTCCAGATATGCTTCTCTAAGGATACACCATCACCTATATGATGTTCCAACTGAGAATGTGTAATGTGAGTCTGATAAAAAAGAAAACATATGGGGCTGGGGATGTGGCTCAAGCGGTAGCGCACTCGCCTGGCATACGTGGCGTGCTGGGTTCCATCCTCAGCACCACATGATGTATGTACATTCCATGTATGTATTATATGTCAAAATTCATTCTGCTGCCATGTATGACTAAAAATAAATAAATAAATAAATAATTTTAAAAAATAAAGTAAAATAAAGATGTTGTGTCCACCGAAAAACTAAAAAAAAAATAAATATTAAAAAAAAATTTCTCTCTTTAAAAAATAAAAATAAATAAATATTTTTAAAAAATATACAAATTGACTTAAAAAAAAGAAAACATATGGCAAATCCATAATGAGAAGCATTCTATTAAAGCATCATATCATGAAAACGAAGGTTGTGAAAAGCTCCAGGTTAAAAGAGGCTATAGGAAGTAAAACCTAAAATTATAAAATTTAGAGAAGAAAACTTGGGAGAAAATCTTTGTGACTTAGAGTTAGGCAAAAAATATATATTTTTTACCATTTTCATATATTTCTTTGGTGCATTATAACTATAATGAATAATGGTGGGATTCATTATTACATAATCACATATACAATATAACAATATATATTGGTCAATATGATTTCCCAATAGTTTCTTTCCTTCATCTCCTCTCTCCTCCTGGACCCTTTCCTTTACTCTACTGATCTCCCTTCTGGTTTTTCGCTAGGTTTTTTTTTTTTTTTTTTTTTGAGATTCAACGCCACCCTAGCCCCTTCCCCCAATTCTTTAATTTACTTTTTCCTCTCTTGCTTCCACATATAAGAGAAAACATCACCCTTGACTTTCTGAGTTTGGTTTATTTCACTTAACATAAAAGTTCTTAAGTTCCTACAGATGACATAATGTCATTCTTATTTATGATTTATGGCTGAATAAAACTCCATACACATACACACACACACACACACATTTTCTTTATCCATGATCCCCTGATGGACACCTAGGCTGGTTCCATAGTTTGGCAATTGTGAGCTGTGGTGCTATAAACATATATATGCATCTATTGAAATAATATACTGACTTTAATTCTTCAGGATAAATATAAAAAGAGTGGTATAGCTGGGGTATGGTAGTTCCATTCCTAGTCTTTTAAGGAACCACCATACTGATTTCCGTAGTGATTTTACTAATTTGTAATTCCACTAACAGCATAAAAGTGTTCCTTTTTCTCCACATCCTCTCCAGTATTTATTTTTGTTTGTATTCTTAATAGCTGCCATTCTAACTGGAGTAAGATGAAATCTTAGTATAAGTTTTGTTTTGTTTTTGGTACTGGGAATTGAACCCAGGGGCACTTAACAACTAAGCCAACTCCCTACCCCTTTTTATTCTTTGAGACAGGGTCTTGCTATACTGTTGGGTTTACTAAGTTGCTGAGATTGGCCTTGAACTTGCAATCCTCTTGCCTTGGCCTCCCTAGTTGCTGGAATTATAGGCATGCACCATCATGTCTGGCCTTAGGGTGATTTTAATTGCTAAAGATGTTGAACATTTTTCATGTATTCATTGGCCATTTATATTCTTTTGAGAAATGTCTCTTTAGTTTGTTTACTCACTTACTAATTAGGTTAATTAAGGATTTGTGTATTTGTATGTGTGTATTTTTTGAGTTCTTTGAGACATTAATCATCTGTTAGAAAAGTTGCTAGTAAAGATTTTTTTTCTGATTCTTAGGTTCTCTCCACATTCTTAATTGTTTCCTTCACTGTGTTGAAGCTTTTAATTTGATGCCATTTTATTTATTAATTCTTGGGGTTATTTCGTGAGCTTTAGGGATCCTATTGAGAAAGTCATTGCCTGTACCTAAATATTGGAGTGTGGACCCTTTGTTTTCTTCTAGGACTTTCATAGTTTCTGATCTAATTCTTAGATCTTTGATTCATTTTAAGTTAACTTTTAAGTAGGATGAGAGATGAAGATCTAGTCTCATTCTTCTACATATAGATATCCAGTATTACAGCACCATTGTTTAAAAGGCATTCTTTTCTCTAATATATATTTTTGGTACCTTTTTCAAAGATCAGGTGACTGACTGTAGATGTGTGAGTTTGTCTATTTGTCTTCTATTCTGTTTCATTCATCTGTGTGTCCATTTTTATGCCAGTACCAAGCAGTTTTTGTTACTGTACTTCTTCAGTATAATTTGAAGTCAGGTATTGTATTGCCTCCAGCACTGCCTTTTTTTTTTTTTTTTGGCTTAGAATTGCTTTAGATATTCTGGGTCTTTTATGTATGAATGAATTTTTAAGTACTGTTATTTTTTTCTAGTTCTGTGAAGAATGGCATTGGTATTTCGATGAGGATTGGATTGAATCTCTATAATTGCTTTTGATAGTAGATTATTTTAACAATATTGATACTGTCTATCCATGAATGTGGAAGGTCTTTCCATCTTATGTTTTTTTTCAATTTCTTAAGTATTCTATAGTTTTGTAGTGGTCTTTCACCTCCTTGGTTAGAATTATTCCTAGGTTGTTGGGGTTTTTTTGTTTTCTACTATTTGTCTGTTTTAAGGCTAGTGTGAATGGAATGAGTTTCCTGATTTCTTTATCAGCAGATTCATTTTTGGTGTATAGGAAAGCTATTAATTTTTGTATGTTGATTTTTTTGTTTGTTTCTTTTTTTATTCTACTTACTTGTACATGCATTTTAATTCATTGTACACAAATGGAGCGCAACATTTCAATTCTCTGGTTGTCCATGATATAGAGACACACCATTTGTGCAGTCTTACATGAACCTAGGATAATGATGTTCATCTCATTCCACCATCTTTCCTACCCCTAGAACAACTTCCCACCCTCCCTTTGCCCAATCCAAAGTTCCTCCATTCTTCCCATCCTCCCCCACCATAGATTCACATCCATTAATCAGAGAAAACATTCAGTCTTTAGTTTTTTGGATTGACTTACATCACTTAGCATAATATTCTCCAACTCTATCCATTTACCTGCAAATGCCATAATTTTATTTTCTTTTAATGCTGAGTAATATTCCATTGTGTATATATACCACAGTTTCTTTATCCATACATCTATTGATGGGCATCTAGGTTGGTTCCACAGTTTAGCTATTGTGAATTCAGCGTCTGTAAACATTAGTGTAGGCATGTCACTATCCTATGCTGATTTTAAGTCATTTGGGTATAGTCTATGGAGTGATAGCTGGGTCAAATGGTGGTTCCATTCCAAGTTTTCTGAGGAATCTTCACACTGCTTTCCAAAGTGGCTGTACCAAATTGCAGTCCAACAGCAATGTATGAGTGTACCTTTCCCCCACATTGTCTCCAACACTTATTATTGCCTGTATTCTTGATAACCACCATTCTGACTGAGGTGAGATGAAATCTTAGTTTTGATTTGCATTTCTGTAATTACTAAAGATGATGAACATTTTTTCATATATTTGTTGATCACTTGTATGTCTTCTTCTGCAAAGTGTCTGTTTAGTTCCGTAGCCCATTTATTGATTGTTTGTTTTTCTGATATTAAGTTTTTTGAGTTGTTTGTTTTTCTGATATTAAGTTTTTTGAGTTCTTTATATATCCTGGAGATTATTACTCTATCTGATGTGTGTGTGTGGTAAAAATTTGCTTCTCTTCTGTAGTCTCTCTTTTCAACTCAATGATTGTTTATTTTGCTGAGAAGAAGCTTTTTAGTTTGAATCCATCCCATTTATTGATTCTTGATTTTATTTCTTGAGCTTTAGGAGTCTTGTTAAGGAAGTCAAACCCTAATCCGACTCGATGAAGATTTGGGCCTACTTTTTCTTCTATTAGGTACAGGGTCTCTGGTCTAATTCCTAGGTCCTTGATCTACTTTGAGTTGATTGTAATGTGCAACTTTGTTGAGTTTGTTTATTAGCTCTAGCAGTCACCTGGTGGAGCTTTTGGGATCTACTAACTATAAGACTATATCATCTATAAACAGTGATAAATTGACTTCTTCCTGCCCTTTTTTTAATCCCTTTTATATTCTTCCCTTGCCTAATAGCTCTAACTAGAATTTCTAGTAGTATATTGGATAGAAGTGTAGTGAGAGTGGACCTTGTCTTTTTTCCAGATTTTTAAAGGAAATGCTTTCAGATTTTCCCCATTCACTATGATGTTGTCTTTGGGTTTGTCATATATAGTCTTTATGATGTGGAGGTAAGTTTCTTCTATCCCTAATTTCTTCAGTGTTTTTATCATGAAGGATGCTGAATTTAGCCAAAAATCTCTGCATCTCTTAAGATGACTATGATTATTGTTTACATGGTAATTACATTTATTGATTTGCATATCCTTGCAACCCTGGAATAAAACCAAGTTAGTCATGACATACAACCTTTTTAATATGTTGTTGAATATGATTTGCTAATGCTTCATTAAGAATTTTTGCATCTAAGTTCATCAGGGATATTAGTCTGTAGTTTTCTTTCCTTGATGTGTCCTTATCTGGTTTTGATATCAGAGTGTTACTGGCTTCATAGAATGAATTTGGTATGCAAAGATTTTTTTAAGGCACATAATGACCAAATCTATTTAAAAATTTGATAAATTGGACTTCATTAAAATTAAGAACATCTGTTTTTGGAATATTATTCAGTGGTCAGTGCTTGCATAAGGCCCTGGGTTTGATACCGAGCACACAAAATAATAATAATAATTAGTTCATTAAGAACCTCTGTTCTGAAATATTCCACCAAAGAATAAAAAAATTAGCAACAGGGAAAATCTCTTCCAAATGTATGTTTGTGAAAGAAATAGTATCCAAGTTATAGAACACCTTTTCCAACTCAACAATAAGAAAAAAATTCAATTTTTTACAAAATGGGCAAAAGATTTAAATAGACATTTCATTGAAGTTGATATAGAGCTCACAAATGCATGAAAAAATTCTTAATGTCATTAGTTATTAGGGGCAAATTAAAACTACACTGAGATACATACACCTATTAGAATGTCTTAATAAAAATGACAATATCAATTACTGGCAAGAATACAGAGCAATTGTATTTCTCATATGGTGGTAAGAAAGGCAAAATGTATAACCATTTTGGAAAAGTTCAGTAGTTTATTGTAAAAGTGAATGTATACTTACCATATGACCCCCTGGTCTCAGCCCTACATATTTACCCAAGAGATTTTTATGTACACAAAAGCACTAGATAGAACCTTTAAATACAATATCTATAGTAGCTTTATTCATAATTGTCCCAGACTGGAAACAACTCAATACTCAATGACTATTGGCTGATAAAGGACTTTACAAAAGAAAATTGAAAGAGGCTGGCCAGGTGCTGTGGTACATACCTGTAATCCCAGGGGCTCAAGAGGCTGAGGCAGGAGGATCATGACTTCAAAGCCAGACTCAGCAAAAGTGAGGTTCGCTAAGCAACTCAATGAGACCCTGCCTCTAAATAAAATACAAAGTAGGGTTGGGGATGTGGCTCAGTGGCCAAGGGCCCCGGAGATCAATCTCTGATACCTGCTCTCCCCCCCACCACCAGTAAAAAAAGAAAATTGAAAGAGGCTAAAGAGATAATGACAATTAAATGTAATACCTGACTCTAGACTTGATCTTGGAAAGGGATAAAATGCTAAAAGTACAGTTTAAATCAGCTGACAAAGTTGGATTACATATAGTAGATTATTATAGATCTGAATTTTACTGTGATTGATAACTATAATGTTACTGTATAACAAAATGTCCTTATTTTTAGAAAATGCATACTAAATACATACTAGACTATTTAAAGGTCAAGGTCACAATATCTATAAATTACCTCTAAGTTGTTCAGGAAAAAAAATGTGTTTATGTACATTTTGTGAATATGTGTGTGTATGACAAATACATGTCATATACACAGACTGTGCAAGTGATAAAGCAAATGGGACTAAATATTAACAATAGGTGCATCTGAGTAAGGGGTTCAGGTGTTTCACATTTATTTTTGTAATTTAAGAATAAGATTAGTTTAAAAATAAGTTAATATTCCATATATAATGTGTCTCTTAAAACTTGTTAATGGAGGGATCCCTTCAAAAGACTTCTTAACTATTTGAATATGTCTCTTTTCAACTGAAAAACCTTAATTTACAAGGGAAATCATTTTTAGTTGATTGGGAGGATCAACTGGGATAAAATTCTTTCTGAGCACACTAATTTTCTCTATACCACAGATGTTCTCCTTTCCCATCTCCCAACTCTTTAACTGTAATAGTGAAAGCTACATCTGAGCAGGCTTCTTACTTTTCCAGTTCAAGCCACACTGGATAACTAAAAGCTCAGTGAGTATCAGAAACAAAAAATTGTCTCAGAAGATGAGAATTTCACATAAAATGAACTTCTACTAAGGTAAATCATTTCACTTCTTCACCTCAGATCTGGAAGCACAGATGGTGTGTTTGGACCAGTCAAAAACCCCTGGAGTTATTCAAAACAATACAGAGAAAAGCAGCAGCAGAATCCCCATGGTGAGAGTGAGGATTCAAATTGGCTAATAACTGGAGGAAGCTCAGGCGGGAGCGCAGCTGCCGTATCTGCGTTCACATGCTTTGCGTAAGATGCTTTTATGTGTACTTTAAAACCCATCCAAATACAAAAAATCACAAACCATATGCAAAACCCAGCAATGGAGCAGTTCATACCCTGGCATTTGAATTTCTTTTCAGTCAGTTATTTGTGTTCAAAAATCATATATCAAAATTATATCTTTTGAACATACTCAACTATATTTCACACTATGTGTTCTTTATACATTTAACTTTAACTTAAGATAATATTTAAACTCTATAATACCGGGTTTTCTTAAAAACCGGACTTTATGGATCTTACAGAATTAAGAATTGAGCATAAATGGACTACATTGAATTTAAGTTTTGAAATAATTTATTTTAATTTTTGCTCCTTGAAATATTTAGGTACTCCATTACTTTAATTCAGTGCTGCTGACCTGTTAGAAATGGTTTATCCTTCAGCTACATCTGACTTTAAAAAGAGAAGAAGTTCCTAATATATATCAATAGGATATTTAAAATATTATTTTCATAAATCTGGAATTCAAAACATATCATTAGGTAAATTTTTTTAACTTTGTTGAGAGCTGATTCTATTTGTCATATTTTGTATTTTGTAAAGAATCCATCCATTTTCATTTTAAGTCCCATTTTTAAAGCATTTCTTAACCATCTAAAATATGGCTGCTATTTATTTTACCAGTCTCAGTTTAACCAAATTGAATGTGTTTCTTCAGTAATACTATATGTATTTTCTCTCTCCTTAATTATCCACTAAAATTAAGTCCTTTCACAAACATTGCATTCAATAAATTATTTATATTTTTTTAACTATAGAGCTTTAGCTTCTTCCATTTTTTTTATTTAGTTTTCCTGAAATCTTGTTAACAAGTAGAACCATTTCATTTTATCTCTGTGGAATTTTATAGCATTACATTAATATTAATGAGAGTTCTGACAAGTTAGAATTGCAGGATTAGGTGCTTTTTTTCTATCCTCATCAGCCCACTTAGTGTTCATCTTTCTGAATGTGCTTTAAGAAGATGGCATTTTGACACATAATTCCTATGGAAATGTAAGTTTTACTTTTACACAGCCATCAGTGAGTGCTAATAAGAGAATGTATCTTTTAAAATTGTGAAAGCAACAGTCTGATTTTAAGGCTTAAATGGACTTGATGAGAAAGGAAATATAAATTCCATTTTCTGCAGAGCATAAGTGTCATGTTATTGTTAGGAATGTCACTTAGCCCAATGCTTGACTTTAAATATAATCCGTAGAAGCACTGACCAAAAATAACTACAGATTGAATGTTCCAAACTGTAAAGTATTCTGTTTTGTTCCCCAACTCCTCTTGATTTGTTTCTTTTATCATAGTTTTTAAAACAAAAAGATTCTTGGAATAATACATAGCCTCTAAAAAAGAATGATAGGGCTATATGTAGTAACATGGAAAGTGATCCAAGATGTATTGTTAAGTGAAAAATAAGTTACAGAATAGTATGTACAGTGTGACCCTGATTCAATTAAAATAATAATCACCTAGTATGGATATCAGTTATTATCTGGAAGTATCTGGAGAAAAGTATGTTAAAGGTAGTAACAGGACTATTATAGGGGCTGTTGTAAGAGAAATTTTACTTTCTCTATCATATAATTATATTTTAATTTTTATAAGTACTATTTTTCTACTGAAAAACATTTTCTGATATAATTGTTTAAAATTTCACTTTAATTATGATAAAATGCATATAAGATATGCCATCTTAACTATTTTTAAATGTGCAGTTCAGTCATGGACAAATAAAAACCCTTTTCATCTTGCAAAATGGAAATTCTGTAACCTTAACCCTCCTACCAATCCCTGGTAACAACCTTTCCACTTGCTGTCTGTGAGAATGATTACTCTAGGTACCTGGTATAAATGGCATCATACAGTATTTGTGTTTCTGTGACTGGATTGTTTCACCTAGCATAATATCCTCAAGGGTAGTTTTTTGGTTTTTGTTTTTAAATAATAAGAGTACATACTCTGTAGGTGAGTGGCTAAAGTAATGAACAGGTACAAGTGGGCACAGTGGCACACACCTGTAATCTTAGCTGCTTGGGAAGCTGAGGCAGGAGGACCCTCTGGAGTTTAGCAAAATAAAAGCCCTGTCTGTCTCAAAATAAAAAGGGCTGGGGATGTAGCTTAGTGGTAGAATACCACAGGATTCAGTCCCTAGTACTGCAAGAAATGGGAGGGAAAAAAAGGAATGAATAGTCCTTTTTCATAGTTGGAAATGCAAATACAGGTAAATGTGAAAAAATATTCAGTAATGTGCTTTTATAAAATTTTTAGTTATCAAGTTAGCAAAAAATTTTTAAACTACTAGTGTTCAGTGATGGTACTGAAACATTAAAACAATTGGATTCACTCCAGTTGAGAATATGAATTGACAAAATCTTCCTGAGAAGTAATTTGATCATATATATCACAAACGTACAACACGAAACTGATCCTTTTTATCCGTTAACTCTGCTTCTTGGAAGCCAGCCTAAAACTAATCAGACATATGGGCAAATGTTTATGTTTCAAGATGTTCATTACAGTCATTTGTTACATAGTTATTATTTCAGTTGGAAATGACATAAATGTTTACATAAATTTGATCTCTATTTGTGATTCTACGTAGGGTAGGGTAGGAAAAGGGCTCTATCTGAATTTAGGTTGTAGAAGCATGTTATAAAACTGCCTTAATTTGATTTATTTTAAATATGAAGTAGCATCAAAGGAGGGTATAAGATTTGTATGTGTATCAATAGCAGGTTGTGCTTTAAAATACTTGATAAAACATGTAATCATCAGTTTATATGATGGAATATTAGTAATTTTAATGACATAGTAAAAGGCTCAGGATAAGCAAAAAAAGAGATGGAAACTTATGATTACAGAATGATCTCAGCTATGATTTTAAAAAATGTTTTTTTTAAAACAGTTGAAGTTAATATGCCAAAATATTAACAGTGTTTGCTTCAGAATATTTAGTTATTTCTTTACAGATTTCTACACATTATTAATTCTCTGAGTATGTATTACTTTTTATAATAAAGGGAAATGACACTGTAAAAATATACTTTTAAAAGGATAGATACCAAATATAGCTAGAAATATGTCACTCTTCCATTTAAATTCCAGGGCTTTAGGATCAGATACTGGAGGATCAACCAGAAATCCTGCTGCCCACTGTGGGCTTGTTGGTTTCAAACCAAGCTATGGCTTAGTATCTCGTCACGGTCTTATTCCTCTGGTGAATTCGATGGATGTGCCAGGAATCTTAACCAGATATGTGGATGATACAGCAATTGTGTTGGGTATTTATATGATTCCATATCACTTGAAATTATTTTACTGTAAAACAATATATCTGTCACTCATAAGTGTTTCTCCTTACAGGTATACTGGCTGGACATGACCCCAAAGATTCTACCACAGTACAGGATCCTGTGAAATCATTCGTGCTTCCCAATTTGATAGATGTAAGCAAGCTATGTATCGGAATTCCAAAGGTAACTTGTTTCTTTCATCACTTCATATAAAAACTGTCAAGTCAAATATACAGCATAGACTTGAGAGGCAATTGGTTGGATTTGAATTCCTGTATTGCCATTTTTATTAGCCATGTGACTTGAGTACATGACTTAAATCCAATTTCTTCATTTGCAAAACGGGATAATAAACATATTGACCTCAAAGAGTTGTGAGGATTAAATTATCATGTAAAACAAGGGTCTATAAACATTTTTTGTCAAAAGCTTGATAATAAATAATTTAGGCTTTGTGGACTAGAGAGTGTTTTTAACTCAGCTATTATAATAAAAAGCAAAGCCAGATATGGAAAAGAAAAAAGAAGACAAATAGTGAAAAAGTAGCCATAGAAAACATGTAAACAGAGTATGTCTACATTCTAATAAAACTTCTGTTATTTTTTACAATACTAGGGATTGAATCCAAGACTATACATGTACTAGACATGCATTCTACCATTGAGCTGCCTCCCCTTCCCTTTGTGATTTTATTTTGAGACAGGGTCTCACTAAGTTGCCCAGACAGCTTTGAACTTGGAGTCCTCTTGCCTCAGCTCCTGAGTCACTGGGATTGCAGGAATGTACCACCATACTCGGTTCTAATAAAATTTTATTTTCAAAACTAGCTTACTGGCCAGGTATAGCAGCTATAATCCCAGAGACTCTGGAGGCTGAGGAAGAGGATTATAAATTAGAGTCCAGCCTCAGCAATTTAGTGAGACCCTCAACAACTTAGACCTAGTGTCAAAATGAAAAGTAAAAAGTGCTGGGGACATAGCTGAGTGATAAAGCAACCCTGGCATCAATTCCCAGTAACATTCCTCCCCATCCCCTCCTCCCGCCTCACACATACACAATAGCTGACTGGTCACATCTGGTTCACAGTCCATGCTAATCCCTAATGTAAAACACTTAGCCCAAAGGCATGCCTTGCAATATAGTAAACCTTATTAAATGTTATCTTTACTATTATTATTATCCCTACTACTACTATACCTATTACAGTAACAATTAAGTAAGTCATTATATTGTGGATATGATAATTTTAAATTACTGGCCTTTAAAAAAAAATCTAACAACATAGTAATGCTAAAAACCTTTCAAAAATTATTTAGAAAGATAAATTACCCAGAAGACTAAAAACGATTTCTCAATCTCAGCACAATTAGTATTTGGGACTGAATAATTTTTTGTTGTAGGTAACTATCCTTTACATTGAGAGTTTAGCAGCATCCCTGGTCTCTTTACCCCTAGATGCCAAATAACATTCCTTACCTCTACCACAACACAACAACCAAAAATGTCTGTAGACATTATAAAATGTTTCTTGGTTGGGAAAAGGAGACAAAACTCGCCCCCAGGTGAGACCCATACTTTTAAGAAATGCTACTTTCTTTAAAGTCTTCCATTCAAGTGACCTTCTTTTAAAAGAATGAGAACTTACAGGCTTTAGAAGGAGATCTAGTTTAGAATCCTAGGATCCTCTACTAACCTGCTATATAACATTAGGAAAGTTACTTTTCTAGTTTCAACACTTTTCCTTCATAAATTCATAAAGAGAACTTTCAAAAAGCATCTAGCTGCATACCTGATACATAATGTACATTTAACAGATATGAGTTCCCCAACTAGATCTCCAATTTTTTTTTAAAGAGAGAGAGAGAGAGAGAGAGAGAGAGAGAATTTTTAAATATTTATTCTTTAGTTTTCGGCAGACACAACATCTTTCTTTGTATGTGGTGCTGAGGATCGAACCGGGCCGCACACTTGCCAGGCGAGCGTGCTACCGCTTGAGCCACATCCCCAGCCCTAGATCTCCAATTTTTTAATTGTTATATCCAGCTCATAATATTTAATATTATGTTTTAAACAATCTTAGTTTGGTCTTTCTAGCAACCTGCCTGCAATATAATCCATTTTGCAAGGGAATTTCCAAAAGTCCTGGTATACAAATTTTTATAAAACTATTATCAGTGCTCCAGTTTCTGTATCTTGGCTTTTTCTTGTAAGGAATATCTTGTACCAGAATTATCAAGTGAAGTACGATCTCTCTGGTCCAAAGCTGCTGATCTCTTTGAATCTGAAGGAGCCAAAGTAATAGAAGTATCCCTGCCCCACACCTGTTATTCAATTGTCTGCTACCATATATTGTGCACATCAGAAGTGGCATCAAATATGGCAAGATTTGATGGGCTAGAATATGGTAAGATGGGTGGGGCTTTTTATTTTGGGGGGGAGGGTGGGTACTAGGGATTGAACCCAGGGATGCTTCATCAATGAGCTACCTTCCCAGCCCTTTTTATTTTGAGACAGGGTCTCAGTACTTTGCCTAGTCTGGTTTTTAACTTGCGATCTTCCTGCCTTAGTCTTCCAAGTAGCTGGGATTGTAGGCATGTACCACAGTACCTACAATCCCAGCTTATGAAATTTGAAAATTTAACTTACAGTAATAAAAAATTATTGCCTGAGATAGTGTTAATGATTCAGAAAATTAATCAGTGAATCATTTTTCCTTATCATTTTAACATTGTACATATTCTATTCATCTTAAATGTCTCAGGATGTTCATTTCACTTCTCTGGACTTAAATATCTTAAAGGGATAGTATCTTGTATTTATGTGTTAAACTCATCTAATGTAGTGCCTGAAACAGGGGAGGAGCTCATTAAATATTTGGACACTGGATAATGGATGGCTGAGGGAGGAAGCAAATGAAATTTCTTTCTTGGTTATTTTCTTTTCCCTCCATGATCAGTCCTGTGACTGATAGAGAAAAGGAACTAGTAAGGTCATGTTCCCTAAATTTCAGTATTTAAAAGTATGAATCTTTGCCAGTTTTTAGCCAAAACTTTACTTCTTTTGCAAGTATTGTATATCTTGTTTTTGTTTTCAGGCCACAGATGTGACATTAATGTGTCTACTGAAGCCATGTATGCTGCAACCAGAAGAGAAGGGTTCAATGATGTAGTTCGAGGAAGAATTCTCTCAGGAAACTTTTTCTTATTAAAAGAGTAAGACAATGAGTTTAAGCATTTTTCTCACTCTTGAAAGCTGAAGAATAAGGTAGTAGTATGTCTGTCAGGTCTTATAAGCCAAAATATTTACTAAAAAAATAAATTCCTTATGATTTGAATTAGAAAAGAACTACTTGTGGCACTTTTGGTTCCTAGTTATTTTTTTAAAAAAAATGTTTTTAATTGATGCACTAGCTAAATGATAGGTACAAACTAAACAGAAAGCTCTGGTTTGAGCTCCGATTTTAGCCTCATTACTGGCTGTTATTGTGCATTGGCTTATTGTTAGAGACTTAAACGTAGACTTACAGTGTGATCTCTTGAAAAATTTATCTGTTTACTTCAAAAAAGAATTCCAAAATACCGTGACCCTTACTTAAATTTTCTCTAATGTAAGTTTATTCAAGATCTTGTGAATAGGATTCACAATAGAGTCTAGAGGACGTGAGAAATATGAATAAGCAAGAATGGTTATTGTAATGAGTAGCTTTTTGAAATTTTTCTCTATGTATTCAAGGGCAGAAAGCATTTTATTCATCTGTGCATCCCCTCAAAACCAAAGTTAAGATCATTTTTTTTCCAAATTACTTAATTATATCTCATATTAAAAGACTCTTTTCCATATCGACCAGACATTTGTAATGACTTAGGAGTAGGAAAAATGAAATATTGTGAAGAAGTTTTCTAAGCAGAGACTTTATTAAGGTAAAGATGTTACATTTGCCATGTATTACTGATTAGAATCATATTGAATATCAAGGCAAAAGTTGATTGATTGCATAGGTCACTGTAAAAGCATTAAAAAATATCGAAGGAGAGAAGTTTGCAAGCTGCTTCCATGAATACCAGCTGGGGTTATTAAGAAAAGGAAGAATTACTGATAGTATCCGTAGCTTCTTGGATTGACGTGTTTGTTTTTTTGTTTTTGTTTTGTAGGGTGGGTAAAGGTGAACATGAGTGATAGAAAAAATAGTATTTGAGGCACTTGTTGTTTTTTGTCTTAAAAAGTCAACTTGTACGTCCAGAAATAGAAAAAGTCTTGGGCTGGGGATGTGACTCAGGCGGTAACACGCTCGCCTGGCATGTGCGGGGCGCTGGGTTCGATCCTCAGCACCACATTAAAAAAACAAAATAAAGATGTTGTGTCCACCAAAAACTAAAAAATAAATATTAAAATTCTCTCTCTCTCTCTCTCTCAAAAAAAAAAAGAAGAAAGAAAGATATAGAAAAAGTCTTAACATTTTTACTTCTGTGAGTTAGGAATCCCAGATTTATTTATTTATTTATTTTGCTGTACTGGGAATAAAACCCAGAGCTTTGTGCGTGCTAGGCAAGCACTCTGTCACTGAACTACACCCTCCACCCCTTTTCATTTTGAAATTGGGTCTTCAGGCTGGTCTCAAACTTAAGATCCTTCTGTCTCAGCTTTTGGGGTAGCTGGGATTACTGGTGTGTACCATTGTGCCCAACTTTTTTTTTTATTATTTGCATAAATATTTACTTTTGAACCACATTTAAGTCTACTTCTTGTTATTGTCTTCTATTTATTCCATGTGTTCTTTCTTTCCCTTAACCTCTTTTCCTGCCTTCTTTCATTAATCTATAAATTTTTATCTTAAAGAGATATTTTTAAAAATGAGGAAAAATAGGGCTGTTTGTTTTGTTTTGTTTTGCTTTTTTGGTACCAAGGGCATTTAACCACTTAGCCACATCCCCAAACCTTTTTGTGTTTTATTTAAAGACAGGGTCTCCTTAAGTTGCTTAGAGCCTCGATAAGTTGCCGAGGCTGGCTTTGAATTCATGATCCTCCTGTCTCAGCCTGAGCCACCAGGATTACAGGCATATACTCCTTCACTCAGCCAAGGGTCATTTTATTTTTCTACATAATTATTTCTGGTGCTTTTCCCTCTGTTTTGTGTATCCAAATTTTCTTGTGTTATCATTTTATTTATGCCTAAAGAACTTCCTTTAACATTTCTTACAGTGTAGTCCTGCTATCAGTGAAATCTTTCAGCTTTATATGTTAAGGTTTTTGTTTTGTCTTTAATTTTTGAAAGATACTTTATTGGATATAAAATTCTAAATTGACATCATTTTCCTTCAGTACTTTAAAGGTTTTGTTCCACTCTAGAGGTCTTATTTTTTTTTTTTATCTTAGTTCCTTATGTATAATGTAACTTTGTTTGTCCCTCTGATTAGTTTTAACATTTTCACTTTACCATTGGTTTTTAGGAATTTAAGATGTGCCTTGGTGTGGTTTCTTGAATATTTCTTCTGCTTAGGTGTTCTTTGAACTTTTTGGATCTGTGTGTTTATAGTTTTAATAAATTTGGGGAAATTTTGACCCTTATTTCTTAATATATTTTTTCTGTCCTCTCCTCTGGGACACCATTTATATGTATGTTAATCTGCTGGTGTTGTCTCATGGCTTATCCCCCCAGTCTTTTTCTCTCTGTGCTTCCTTTTAGATAGTTTCCATTACAATTTTGAGATCCACCGATCTTTTCTTCTGCAGTATCAATAGTCTGTCAATTCCATCTGGTGTAATTTTTCATTTCATATTTTGTACTTTTTAGAACTAGAATTTCCAAGTCAGTCTTTTTATCTCTTCAGTTTCTTTTCTTTTCTTTCTTTCTTTCTTT